CAGGAGAATCAACAGGGATGCATTCCCCCTGTCTTTCTCATGGCAAAGGTCGTCAAACAGGGCGTCCCATAACCTGGCCTGAAACCCAACTAAAAATGTAATCCGTTTCATTCAGGAGAGCCTGGAGCTGCTCAGCCACCACATGTTCCAACACCTTGCCCAGAAAAGGGAGGTTTGCTACTGGTCGGAAGTTGATCACTAGACCTGGGTCCAGATTAGGTCTTTTTAGGAGTGGGCGAATCACTGCCTCCTTTAACAGGGTGGGAACCACTCCCTCTCTTAACAAGGAATTGATGACTTCCAGGATACAGGTGCAAACTCCCCTGGCAGATTCCTTTATTAGCTACGATGCGCAAGTTGTGTAGTGGTGCCACGTACCAATCCAATCACCCTGTCCACATCCTTGGGTTGTAACAAATGAAACTCATCCAATAAATTATGACATAAGTCCGGAGCACTGGACACAACCATAGGCTCTGCATCAACAGTAGAGTCCAACTCTGCGAATCTGAACAATTTCCCCCTCAAAGTGTGTAACAAATTCATTACAGTGAACCACTGAGCAGTCCGAGACCTCCACTAAACCATTAGGCTGAAGAAGGTCCCAGACCACTCGAAGTAATTCTGCTGGACGACACGCTGAGGAAGCAATACGACTGAAGAAATGCTGGCATTTTGCCAGCCGTAATGCCACAGAGCAGGCCCGATAATGGGCTCTAAGCTGTGTTTGGTCATAGTCGCAGCAATATTTCCTCCATCTAAGCTCAAGCTGTCTCCCCAACCATTTCATAGCCAGAAGTTCCTCTGTGTACCATGGAGTCATATAGGCCAGTGGTCCCCAACCTTGGGCCTCCAGATGTTCTTGGACTACATCTCCCAGAAACCTTCACCACCACCTCTGCTGGCCAGGATTTCTGGTAGTTGAAGTCCAAGAATATCTGGAGGCCCAAGGTTGGGGACCATTGATATAGGCTCTGTGGGCAGGGAGAGCGCGCCTAGCTGCGATCGTATCAACCACCCGGGTCATTTCCTTGTACCACAAAGCAACCTGGGCTTCGACAGGAGTGCCGACCCCTAGAGTGTTCAGGAATCCTTCAGGATCCATAAGTCTCCAGGGGTGGATCATTTTAATTGATCCCGTGCAGAGGGTAGTTGTGGCAGAGAGTCTAAACTTTACCAAGAAATGGTCCGGCCATGACAATGGAGTCAAAGATAAACCCACCACATCCGAACCACCATCCCCCCCCATCCTGTTGTGTATGGCCTTTCTCATGATTTGGGCCAATGACACGCTGAGACAGCCCCATGGTTGTCATGGTGGCCATGAAGTCCTGAGCCACCCCTGTTAAGGTGGCCTCGGCATGGAGGTTGAGGTCCCCCAGTACCAAAGGGCTGGGGGTCCTCACCACCAGGTCTGAGATCACCTCCGTCAGCTCAGGTAGGGAGACTGTTGGTAAACAGCAGGGTGGGTGGTACACCAACAGAATCTCCAGTCTGTCTCTTGAGCCCAACACACAATACAGGCCCTTTGGACCATTTCCCAAGAGGACAGGGAGTCTGGAAAAGTGGAAGGAATCCTTGTAGACTATCGCCACACCTCCTCCCCAACCCGGGGGGGGGGGGAAACACAATTGAGATAGAGGAACCCCTCCTTCTCCTCCCACCCAGGTCTCAGGAATGCATGCCAGGTCGGCCACCTCATCCAAAATTAAATCATGGATGAGGGTAGTCTTATTTTTTTGCCGACCTGGCATTTACCAACAGTACCATGTGGCCTGGGGGGTGGCTGATAGGGTCACCTAGTACCGTTTGGCTGGGAGTAGAGCTAGAAAGGGGGAAAGGTGTAAGGTATCTAATTTCCTTTCTCCTACATGGGCATGCTCTACTCGTAGAAGGAAGATGTTATTTGGTTCCCCTGAGCGCAGGAATGCTGGTCCGTTAGGGCCCTGAAATAAGCTCTGGCTTAAAAGCCTCCTCTCCCCCTGAGCCAGGTGGCTGATGTTGTGAAGGGGGTGGGGCAGCCAGGAGTAGCAGGGCCCAGTCCTGCAAAGCAGAGGGAGATTGAGCCAGGCTCCGTTGGAAAAAGCTGGCGGCCCAGCAGCAGCCCAGCCACAGTCCCACTGTCTCTCACACAGTGACCCGTAGAAGGCAGATGTTATTTGGCTCCCCTGAGCGCAGGAATGCTGAGCTTTGTATAAGTCCGCAGGAAGTCAACCTGACTCTCAGCAGATGTTCTGGAAGAACTCACCTGCTCATTGCTTGTAGAAGAAATGCTGGACTCTGCTTCCTCCTCTCCTTTATCCTCATTTTTTGATTTCCAAAATCTGCCATCTCGAAGGAAGCGTTGGTGCAGTTCTAGCTCATCACACGCCTTCTTCCAGCCCATGCTGCGTTTTACATGCAGCCGATGTATATTAACTGTGATGTCTTGAATGTTTTCAGAAGGGATCCAGGCCCTGCACAATGTCAGTTAAAGGACACGTTTAAGTGCAAATGCATGTTATGCGTATCTTGACATCAGCTAGGCCAGTTTTAAAACACCCATGCTTTATACCAAGAGTGTATAAAATTCAGTGTACATAAATGAACTGAAGACACATTGCCTCAGATTCACAATTTTGTTTCATCTCAGCTTCCATTTTCTCTTATAAACCAATTACTAGCCTATTTATGGCAGCAATCTCTGCAACACATACATTTTGAAAAATGGCAAAAACATTGGGAGCCACTTCCCTAGGCTTTTGGTCAAGTACTGATCAGATAGGAAGGTGATAGGAGGGTTGTTATTGTCATGTGCCAGCAAGTCAGCTACCTTAATAGGGCTTTCAGGGTAAATAAGCTTTTTAAGGGGTGGTTTTACCAGCTCCACCCTCCAGTGAGTTCCTTGACAGAGCTGAGGAACTGAAACCAGGTCTCTTGGGTCCTAATCCACACCACCACACTGGGCAGCCTTGATAGGAGTGACATGGCTCAATAACAGAGAAGGTGTTTCCCATGCTAAAGATTTCCAGGATCAATCCTTGGTATTTTCAGTTAAAGGAATCTCTAGCCAGTGAAGCTAAGGCACTCTTGCCAGTCACAGGACACACCTCGAAAGAAAGGTTCAGCATCTGACAGCCTTACCATACTATCTCGAACAAATTCTCAAATAATAAGCAGTCTTGCCTATTACTAGCTAAACTAACATGTTCTTGATGTCTGTGTATGGAAACTAAGGGCACTAAGAGTTTCCCTTAGAGGAATGGTGCACAATCTTGGGTAACCCAAGTGTTCTTGGACTGCAATTCCCAGAAGCCTTCGCCACTAGATGTGCTTGCCAGGGTTTCTGGGAGTTGTAATCCAGGAACTCCTGGGTTATCCAAGGTTGGGAACCACTGCCTTCCAGGTTAAGATTGCAAACTATAATTTGTAATCTTAGATGGCAGAGTGTTCAAATCATAGTTTCTTCTGTATGTGAAACTTGTACAGACATCATCCCCTTTCAGGTGAAAAAACAATTGCTCATTGGGTCCAGATGATCCTTATATAAAAATGAAGTATAGATGAAGAATGTTGCTAAATGTGTTTTCAGTCTGTACAATGTTTCCATGTAAACACTTCCCTATATTCCTTCCTCTTAACATTAAACTGCATGTGCTTTAGTAATTGGGTAAACTTATGAATGCAATATGAATTTGTGATACATCTCATTACATGATAATAAATTTATCTATATGGAATAACAGCCTCTCAAGCCATGTAAATCAGCACGTGTATAATGTTCCGCCATGACTCGGTAAGTGCCATTCTTCAGTCTCTCATATATTTTCCAAACTCATGTAGGTGGGCGAAAAAAATGCTCCACATGGCTTGTGGATAGTTCAAGGACGGGTAAGGAAATAAGGGGTACTCATCAAGTAAAATACCTTTGGTGGTGATGGCCAAAAAAGCGAACATCAACCTGATTGTCCTCTTTTTGCATGACTTTGGCAGGCCAGAATCCAAAACCTTTCATTTTAGCCCAAACCAGCTCATGATTGGGTATCTGAAAGTTTAAAAAAACATGTTAAGGTTGCATAATTAGTAAAGATGTGGGATCCCAAGTATTATCTTGACATGGACCAGGGATTACCAATAGAGATGGGTACTTCAGTGGATTGGGCCCACAGGTGTAGTGTGGGTGCCCCAGATTCCATGCCTTGCCTCCTCCCATGCGCGCCCCATCAGAAGCATCCCCATGGGATTCCCTGCCCTGCCTCTTTCTCTGAGTGAGGAGGAGGTGGGGCATGGAATCTGGGGCACCCACACAACCTCTGTGAGCTCAATCCCCCCAAACTTGCCAAAGCATTGAACTGCGGTAAGTGCTCATCTCTAATTACTAATACAGCAGTTCTACACTGAACTGCAAAACCAGGTCCTTGAAAATCCTTGGAAAACCATTTCCCAAGGCATCCTTGCAAATAAATCCTTACAAATTCCTTCTTGGGTGCAGCTTTGCTTTCAGAGGCATTTTATAGAACCAAGTAAGGGGTCAATTAAAAGTTTCCAACTGGCAGTCTCTGATAGGAAGCAAGATCCGCACAGGAAGGACTATAGTGCTGCACTCTGCAAAGCCCACTCAAAAATGATAGAAATGTTTCAGAGAGATTAAAAGATGCATGGGAGGCAGCAGAAAAGGTACATGTCTAATTGAATTCAACCTTGCCTGCCTAGTTTGCAGGAAAAATAACTGATATAAACAGTGTTGAACCAAGTACTTTTGCTTCCCTAATACATTATTTCTTACCAGGAAAGACTATGATGTACATAGGGATGCAAACATGGTGGAAATCTTTGCAAATCCTGTTCTTTTGTATACAGGAAACACTATGCATGAACTTAGGGGCCCATAGAGGTGCACCAGGCTTGCAAGACAGCAGTATTGGAAAAGGTATAAAATTAGCACATTAGGTGTTTCCTCCTAATGTCTAGTCTTGAGGGATACATGCTTTCTCTGCAGATGTAATTCAGCCATTGGGGCGGACACATATAGTTTCTAGAAATCTAATGCTTTTAAAAGGCCATCTAAGCTACCTGGACACATATAGTTTCTAGAAATCTAAGTAATGCTTTTAAAAGGCCATCTAAGCTACCCTCCATTTCTGTATTTGATGGCAGTGAATCTGATCATTTAATTGTGACTTGTGTGAAGAAGCAAACTTACACAAGGATAGCAGAACCAATTGTCAGGACGTGCATTGGATAAATAAAAACAGTTCTTGCAAAGCTGAAGTTCATCCAGCTGAAAAAAAAACAAGAAACATGATGCCAGACTCAATATAATATATTCTCCATGATGCCAAAAAGCATTTTTATAGCAAGGATAAAATACAAGCTGAACAGGGTTGTACACTGGCTTCTCTGTTTGCCAAGTTGTACAAACTAAGCCAAATACTGGCTTTAGTATTCATTTATTTATTCCAAGTATCCTTCCTTATTTTAAATAAACAATGTCATACATAAGGCAATAATAAGTATACTTAAGAGAATTTCCAAACACTCAGAATAATTGGATTATGAAATCATAAATGTGACTGCTATCACCATTACCTTTTAAATGCCTTAGTTTTCCTTTTAAGCCAGAATGTGGCTTCAACTTTTGAAATGGATACTATTTCTTATCTAGAATGGTGCAAAAGCAGTAACTGTAAGCAAAACCGTATCTTCTAATTCATTTTCTTCTGTCCATTAACTAAGCAGCTGCCTCTGACAAACTGAACTTTTACATTTTGCCTAAAAATACATTTTCTTTCCTCTCTTCTGAGTCTTAGCTATACTAACAGATGAAAGAGATCGAGTATTCACCATTATATGAGGGGATATTCCCAAAATATTTTGGGATTTAATATGTCTTATATGAGCAAGTTCAGTCAAAATATCCACAAACAAAATGCATCTGAGTTGTATTTATCAATGAGGCATCAACTAATGTATAATATTTTCTTACTTATATGACTCCTTACACAACAAAATGAACTACTGTCATATGCAAACTGATATACAGTGGTGCCCCGCATAGCGACGTTAATCCGTTCTGGATTAATCGTCGCTATCCGGAAACATCGAAATGCGGGGGGGGGGGACCCCATAGAAATGCATTAAACTTTGTGCATTATGGGGTGAAAACTCACCGTTATGCGAAGATACTGTTATGTGAAGATCCTCCATAGTGCCACCATTTTTGCTGCCTCGGTAAGCAAGGAAATTGCGCGAAAATGGTTGTGGCGGCCATTTTGGGCACCCAGCGGCCATTTTGGAACCGCCGATCAGCTGTTCCGCAAACATCGCAATGCGAAGATCGTAAGCGAAATGCTTACCGATCATCACAATGCGATGTTTAGGCTATTAAAACATTGCAATGCGATCGCATTAGCGATCCAAAAAAATAGATCACTATGCGGATTCGTCGTTAAATGGTGCGCTCGTTATGCGAGGCACCACTGTACTAATATCATGAAGCCAAATGATACTGTACCGCCATCTAAATAAGAAATGCCTAGCAACATGGTTCACAAATTGATAGTCTCAAAAATAGATTAATGCTCTCTATGTAGGGCTGGCCTTGAAAACAGTACAGAAATGTCAGCAAGTCCAAAATGCAATGGCCAAACTGGTTACTGAGACTAGTACATTCAGTCATATATCCCCTGTCTTAGCATGCCTTCACTGGTTCCCTTTCAGTTTTCCTGATCAGTTCAAAGATACTTAATTCAAACCCTTAATGGTTTAAGGTCTCGATACTTGCTGGAATGTCCTTCTGAAAAAACAACTACCTAATTCAATCCGTTCCTCTCAATCCATCAAGTGGCCACACCAAGGGAGGCTAAAAAGGTGACCATAAGGAACTGTGCCTCTTTAGCGATGGCCCCCAGTCTCTGGAACAACTTACCAACAGAGATACGCCAGGCTCCTTTCCTCCTTATATTCATGAAATTGCTAAAGAACTGAATTATTTAAAGCTCCCTGTAACAACTAAACCTCCTGGATGTTTTTAAATTTATTTTTTGTATGAATTTCATATTTTGTAGGGTTATTTATATTTATGATTTAATTACTGTTTGTTTATCACCATCTTCTTTTTGAATGTATGTTGTTATGTGGGTTTAAATTTTTAACCTGTAAATCATCCAGAACAGTGCTTGCACTAATGGGAACAGTATATCAATCAATTTATCAATCAATCTTGCCCAGCAACTAAATTGCTGGATATCATGTACCTCATGGCACGTATCTTTGTACAGCATCCTGGCTATATCAGCTTGCTCACTGTCCGCTGCAAATAAGAAAAGGAAATAAATGTTTATTATCCTTTAATGTAACAATAAAAAAATCATTTCTGAATTGAAACGCATAAAAGCATCACAGGATTCCTGTTAGGCCTGGATACATTTATGCCGACTACATCATGATCTCTATTATGTCATCTCAAGTGCTGCTCAACATTTCTTGCAGCCGTTACATATGCCATACCTACATTGGTGCAAACAGGACTTTTCATGAGAGAGTGTTCCTGAAGAAGAAGCAGATCTGTCACCAATGATAGTCTCTGATGGGATGCCACAAAGTGGCTCTCTACTGTGGGTAACTCAAAGCCAAAATGGACTTTGAAGCCCTACTGACCATGGAACAGCTTACAAAAGACGTATAAAAGAAAGATTTTGGACAACTAAATTATGGATCCGTCAGACTAGGGGGGCTTTCGGATTATTTTAAGATCATCAAACTCTTTTAAGGCTGGTGTCGGAGTCAGGAGAATTCTTGAGCTATATGTTGTCTAGCTAAACATGAACTGCCCACCTCCCCAGGCAGCGTCTCACAGGGTCTCTCTTTAGGACCCACTTAGAGATACCATGCTCACAATGAGACATAAATAACGGTTTTTGAAGGGATGGCTGGAAACTGGCAGGAAATAAAGTACAAAAAGTTTTGCCCCAGTCCTACATCGCTCAACACTCTTTACCTTCAAAAACTCTGTTTAGCTACTTAAGGCCCTATAACACATACTGGCCAGAATATTATTGATTATATATGACGGTGTAAATACAATAGTGTAAAACAGTGGCAAATTGCTATTAGCAAATGAATTCCCATTTGCATTCTTTGCCATGCAACAAGTCACATGAGGAATACATGCGGTCACTTCTTCACTAGTACTAATTTGCTGTGATTTATGCCACTGCACTTATGCTGACACAAATAACCAATAGGATTTTTCCCATTCCTTCTTAACTCCCCACACTTACCTCCATAAAAAATCACTGTGTTGTGCAGAAGCAGCTGGGCATCTGCTTTGAATTCCTCATAGCTCCTGTACTTTCCTTCATTTACTTTCTAAACAAGTTAAAATAAGAATCGGAAAGATATACACCATATATAGGCACATGTATCAAAACTTTTACATACCATTTTTCATAGTGAGAGTCCAAATTGTGGGGCTGTACATAGCAAAACGGTGGGCAAACAGAGTAGTTATACATGAGGACTCTGCTCCAATTCCTAACATCTTTAGTTAAAGAATACTAAGTAACCTATTTGGGACAAACTGCCGCTGATCAAACATAAAATAAACCACATTTCTAGACAGCGTGGTAGTCCTATATAAAGCAGAACATAAAGCAGAACTGAACTGTGCAGGGAAAGAAAAAGAGGTTATTTTCCTGTAACTATAGTTCTTTTAGTGGTCCTCTGTGAATCCACACAATTGTGTTGTTCTGTGCCTGCACTGAACCTCTCAGAAGTTTCTAGAGGTTAAAGACACATGATTAATGGTACGTTCCCCCGTGGAGCGCATGCTCCGCCCACCACTGATTCCCTCAGTTCCTGGAAAAACAGGCACCACTATGAAAGAACCATTTTTATTTATTTATTGTATTTAAGTATATAAAAGTACAACGTGGCGGGCAGAGGGGAGGATGGGCGGGATGTGTGAATTCACAGAGGACCACTATGTCTGACAAAGGTTGATGTAGTAGACCTAGTCACTGTATTTGCTTGGGAAGCAAAGATGTTGATGGAAGGGGTGCCCCAACGGTCACAGAGGAGACAGAAGATTGTGTTGTTTAGGGACCATTCGTGTGTCCTCGTGGTGAGTCGACTGAGATAGTCCACGAGGAAGTTTTCGTGTGTGGCTATGTTAACTGCTACTGGGAAGATGTGATGTAGGTAGCACCATTCCCAGAGCTTGACAGTCAGGTACAGTAGGGATAAGGAATGTGTGCCTCCTTGTTTTGGTCACAGAGGAGATAGAAGATTGTGTCGTTTAGGGACCATTCGTGTGTCCTCGTGGTGAGTCGACTGAGATAGTCCACGAGGAAGTTTTCGTGTGTGGCTATGTTAACTGCTACTGGGAAGATGTGATGTAGGTAGCACCATTCCCAGAGCTTGACAGTCAGGTACAGTAGGGATAAGGAATGTGTGCCTCCTTGTTTAAGTAATAAAGTGCTGTCGTGCTGTCCATAGCGAGTTGGACTGCATGTCCCACAATAAGTGGTAGGACACCGATTTCAATTTCGAAGCAGACTTCGACTTCTCCTTATAGTGAGGAGAAGGAGTTGCTGGGCTAGAAAGGGGCATGGGGGGGGATTTTGCCGATCAGGTCGAGGAGCAGGAGATTGTGCAGACTCCATAGTGACCAGAGGTCGGTTCAGAGATTTTTCCCAGAGGCAAGATCTCAGTCTCTGTAAATGCAGTTTTAGCACTGGTTTAGTTAGCCTTCTACACTCGGAGCAAGAGTGTGTCAGATGTTGTTCTCCAAGACAGAAAAGGCAATGGTCGTGGCCGTTGGTGAGTGGGATTTTATTTGCACACAGAACACACTGCTTAAAAGGCCTGGGGGGGCATTAAAGAGTGTGGGGGGAGAAATGGAGGGAAAAACGATTGCGGGGGATGGGACTGGCAAATGTGGACAGAGGAAAAAAACTGGAATAAACTCACAGGAGAAACGTCCAATAAAGAAAGATGACTGAAAAGGAATTCAATTGCTCTAGTTCTCCACAACAGTTCTAACCAACACAGCGGAAAAAAAAGGAACTGGGGGGGGGGAATCAGTGGTGGGCGGAGCATGCGCTCGATTGCTCTAGTTCTCCACAACAGGTCTAGCCAACACGGCGGAAAAAAGGAACTGAGGGGATCAGTGGTGGGCGGAGCATGCGCTCCACGTCCCAGTAATCATGCGTCTTTAAGCTCTAGAAATTTCCAAACTTCTGTTCAAACAAAACAACCCACTTGTGTGGATTCACAGAAACCATGAAGAAGAACCCACCGGTGTGGTCAGCAGAGACCACAAAGAAGCAGGTTTTGTTCTGGAAATTTGTTTGAGGACTGCAAACATTCACACGCATGTTATCTCTGTTCTTCTGAAAAGGAAAAAGGCATAAAAACTAACCTCTTGTATAGTTGGAACATCAACAGCTGTGTGCACCAGTCTGCGATACATTGGGTGTTTGTTGTCCTTTCCTTTTTTGTTTAGATCAATAGCCTGAAAAGCACCACAAAATTTCAGCTTCACAGAAGAATCACATATTGCAATAAAAACATACATATAAAAACCAAATCCTGAAATTCTGCAGAATGATATATTTGTGCAAAATTTTATTTCCACACTTATTGGGGCCATCAGCAAAGATGCCGTGCTGCTTAATAAAAAGGCTATGGAAAATACAGTTTCATGTGAAGATCACATTCACAGAAAAATCTGAGATACAGTTACGATTCCTTGTTAGACAAGCAGTACATCCAAACCACCTTTGGCTGTTAACTAGAAAATGCTTTTATTTGCCAACAAGCACTCAAATGTGTTCAAACCATAACACATAGTCTGCCAAATACAGTAAAATTTATTGGCAAAATCTGTTAAGCACGTCTAGTACAAAAGTTGCCAGAGTGAAACCTGGATGTTCCATCTGTGCATTCAGAGCTGAATTCACAGTTGACATGACTGCATTTTAGACAGATGTTTTCATGCCATTGTTTCACCCACTCCTTGCTGCTGGACCAAGCAGTACATCGGGACAGTAGGCAAAGAAGAAGAAAAGGTATGTGTGCAAGAGAGCCATTCCTCTCTTAGCAGCTAGTGTATAGTTACAGTACTTGGAAATGATTAGAAGCTGATGCTTTGCTATAAAAAAACAATGGCACATGACACTGCAACACTTACTCGTTCCTTCATACGGGAAACAATGAAGCGCAAATACGTGCTCATCTCTTGCTTGCTTGTATTCTTCTTCTTAATGCTCTGGAAGATAAACAAGAGCAAAATTTTAATTCCAGAATTCTGACTTTTAGTAACTGTCTTCCAATTTGACAATACACAGTTGTTAAAAATCCCAGTAACAAATGTTAAGCTGTTCAATGTATTCTCAAAGACTTTCATAGCCGGGATCCGATGGCTGTTGTAGGTTTTTTCGGGCTGTTTGGCCGTGTTCTGGATGTTTTTCTTCCTAACGTTTTGCCAGTCTCTCTGGCTACCATCTTCAGAGGACAGGAGTTAGAACTCTGTCTGTGTTCTGGTGTAGTGTGTGGAATAATTGAATCACCACACCAGAACACAGACAGAGTCCTAACTGGTTGTTGTGGGTTCTTCGGGTTCTTCGGGTTCTTTCGTGTTCTGAAGGTTGTTCTTCCTAGCAATAGACCCACAACAAAAACACACTGATTACCATTATCACCCATCTCCTGAATAGGACAAAAGCTGAACCCACAGCTATAAATACTCAACTCTCCAACTAGCTGCACCAGAGCACAGCGTGCTACTTCTGTCCTCTGAAGATGCCGGCCACATCTTGTTAGGAAGAACAACCTTCAGTAAACGGCCAAAGAGCCCAAAAAACCCACAACAACCAATAGATCCTGGCTGTGAAAGCCTTCGCGAATACAGAGTTCTAACTCTTGTCCTCTGAAGATGCCGGCCACAGAGACTGATGAAACGTTAGGAAGAAAAACTTCCAGAACATGGCCAAACAGTCCAAAAAACCTACAACCATGTTAAGCTATTTGTTTGCCTCAACAGCTTTTCTTGCAGATTTTGAAGGACTAACAGTCAAGACAATATGATAGGAAACTGAACAATAGCTAGATCAGGCTGGAATGATGATGCTAGACTGTGACATGCCTTCTCACACACAAAAAATCCAGTATGTCTTTGGATGGAAACTATACAAAGGTAGTACACACAGTTCTGCAATTATGAAAGATTTACTGGCCAATACATAAGGATATGAAAATCCAGAATGTCTTTGGATGGAAACTATACAAAGATAGTACAGACAGTTCTGCAAGATTTACTGGCCAATACATAAGGATATGTCAGAATTACACCCTTAGACTATTATTCCATTCCCAGCACTAATTTGGATGAATGTTCATTGACAAGTGTCAAGAGTGGCACTGTTTGCCTAGCATTAAAGTACAGTATTAGTTCTGCTGCCCAATGTCTTTGGATGGAAACTATACAAAGATAGTACAGACAGTTCTGCAAGATTTACTGGCCAATACATAAGGATATGTCAGAATTACACCCTTAGACTATTATTCCATTCCCAGCACTAATTTGGATGAATGTTCATTGACAAGTGTCAAGAGTGGCACTGTTTGCCTAGCATTAAAGTACAGTATTAGTTCTGCTGCCCTCATAAAATCCCATTGAGATTAAATACTTATTCTAGTTTTTCAGTTGAAGGAAATGAGTCTAGAATAATGTCTTACCTAACTTTATGATTATACAGAGCTGAGAACTCAATGGGCATTTAAACTTCCAGGTTCTACAACTACAACTGACTGTGTCCTATGACTCACTGATGAGAACTTAATCTACTTACCGTATTTTTCGCTCCATAAGATGCACTTTCCCCCCAAAAAAGTGGGGTGAAAAGTGTGTACATCTTATGGAGCAAATCCTGGGGGTCCCCCGCCGCCATGAAGGCAAAAAGGCAGGGGGAAAGGATGGGAGATTCGAATCTCCTGTCCTTTTCCCCTGTCTTTTTGCCTTTGCAGCAGCAGAGGACCCCCCAGGAGGTCTCCAAGGGCTTCCTCCAAGCCATCAGAGACCTCCTGGGGGTCTCCCACCGCCACGATCGGACCCCCAGGAGGTCTCCAAGGGCTTTCCCCCAACATCAGAAAGACCTTGCAGACCTCTGAAGGCAAAAAGGCAGGGGGAAAGGACAGATTTAAATCTCCCATCCTTTTCCCCTGACTTTTTGCCTTTGATGTACCGTATTTTTTGCTCCATAATTGTGTCTTATAGTCAGGTGCGTCTTATAGAGCGAAAAATACGGTAATACACCTGGCTAAATCCAAGACTATGTTCACAAATGCAGCAGCACTCTGTCTTTCCTACAGCCTTCCACAGTGCCTAACACCTACAGTTTCCCAATCTTTAACAGCAGATATTGGCAGGAAAGCAGCCTGTTGAAGCATAAAGTTCCCATTTAGAGAAAGATGGCAACAGTGTCAAAGGCAAGAGAGAGGAAAAGGTGTTACCCAGTCCCATCACCAAGCCAGTCCATCATAGTGTTGTAAGAAGAGGTCACCAGACAGAGACAAGTAGTATGGCAGCAAGAGGACTTCCCTCACATCCCAAGGAACAGATATATTTAGGGTTTGACTTGACATTAAATTGCCTACCATTACTGCTGTCTAAAGATGTAAAATGTTATGTAAGAACAGATGCATGCGTGTTTTAAACATCAAAACAGATAAAGTCATGATAGTTATCATGACCATAGTGGCCACGAACCAGAACCTCATGTGAACTGGACCTTTTTTGTTTGGGAAAGGAAAACATAAAGTAAAAATCATAAACACATAAAAATATGTAGCCTTCGAGATGGGAATGGGAAATCCCTCATGTGTTTATGCTGCTTACTGTGGCCAATATATATCAAATTACTTTATTTGGTAAAAATTTTGCAGTAACACTATGGTGAGTAGCAGTTTTTATTTGGAATCTTACTCAGGTTCTCAAATCTAAATGGTTTTGCTTCCTTTTTAGAACTTCAGAGTTCCACGACTATTCTTTTATAAGAATATACACAGAAATATGTCTCGTTATCAAACAGAAAACATGTGCCAGAAGAATGCTCTCAAACCCCAACAGCTTTGCTATAAACGCTTAGTATGATTTTCCAAACCACTACTTCCTATGTCAGTTTCTAACGCGTACAAGCTGTTCAGTATATTGGTTGCAATCCTTGAACTGCTATTCATGAATTGTTCATTTGGAGCCAATATGACTATTCTGGAGTAAATAATCCACTGTGCTTCTGGACTTGCAATGAAGTCACTATGTCATTAAATTCTGAATTAATGAAAGTGCAAGACGTGAGACTGCCTAATCAGTACTACATCAAGTCTTTAAGAAGTACAGTGGTGCCCCGCATGACGACGAAATCATTTGACAACGACTTTTTTGTGATCGCAAAATGATGGTTCCTCTGGGTTTTTTTCACTTGACGTCGATTAGGTCCCTGCTTCGCGAATCATTTGTTCGCAAAACGATGATTTTTCTGGCTCCACAAAATGGCTTCCCTTCGCAAAATGGCTGCACTTTCCCTTTGCAAAATGGCTGTTTTCCGGACAGAAGCTTTGTAAAACCGATTTTAGCTGATTGGCGGTTCTCTATGGGTGATCTTTGCTGGACGATGAGGTATTTCCCCATTGGAACACATTAACCGGTTTTCATGCATTCCAATGGGTTTTTTTCCCATGATGACGATTTTGCTGAACAGCGATTTTAATGGAATGGATTATCATCGTCGTGCGGGGCACCACTGTACAACATTTTAAAAAACTTTTATGTATAGTATTTTCCTAACAATCAAAACTGGACTAATTTAGAGCTACGAATGAACAGCTGCTCCCTCGTTCTCCACCATTTTTATTCCATTGTTCCATCATGCCAGGGTTCTGCTTCAGTTGTTATATAGCTAAAAAGGAGATTTCTGGGAAATGTTACCAATGAATTTTGTGAACTGAGAAAAATGTCCCCAAACCGGCCCTGCTATTATTATTATTATTGCATTTTAGCTTTAAAGAAACCTTTCTGTAGGAGTGTACCAATATTCTACTATAAAGTAAAAATAAATAAGCACATGAATTTTTAAATGCTATTGAAAACATTTATTGTACCTTTGAAATATCTCCCAAACACAAATTTTTGAGTGCTCAGGAATCTTTATCAGTAGGTTGTGTAAAAAACACAACCTACAAACAGTATTTAACCCCCCACAAAAATACAACAAATGTTACGGTCAGCAAAGGACAGAAGGGACCCCCCCTCACCATTGCAGGAGTATACCGGATACCTTGCAGTTGTGGCCAGGTATATATTGGAACCACAAAATGAAGCATCCACACCAGAATCAAAGAACA